CTCTGGTGGGTCAGCTGAGGTTAGGTGTAGAGCTTTAGCGGTCGCCCACTGGAGCAAGTGGTCGATCTCCGTAGATTACGTTGGATGGGACATGTGCTACGCATGTTACCGAATAGGTTGTCACTGTGAGTGATGTTGAACGAGGCAGGTAGAGGGTGAAATAAAGCCAAGGGAGGGGAATGGTCAAGCCAAGACCATAAAGATAAGAAAACCCGAACCAGAGGTCTGGGTCACATAGGTCGCGTCAGGCTCGTTGGACGGGGATCTCGAGATGATCGTAACCGGCGATTAGAGACACTGGGTGACATGGTTGAGTATCGTAAACAGTGGTGTTGGTGAATCTGCCNTTTTTTGCAACCTGAGTTCACTGAAATTCTTAATTTTTTCTTGGACTCTACTTTCAAATTTCTTGTCTTTCTCCTACTGTTTATTCAAACGGGCAACCAAAAGATAGTAACCAAAACCGCATGGTGCACAGTTAATGGTTGTACAAACTGAAAACTAATGCAACACTGAAAAACGAAACGGATCGAGCCGTGCCATTAAAAATTGANGGACCAACAGATGCGCGCTTGCGTAGTCGTCCAATACGTTGTGGAGAACGCGGTAAAGCAAAACTGGACAGTGATTGGCTGTGAAAAAAACCAGCAACCGAAAAAAAATTACAAAATATGATCACTCACCGTATCGGCGACCAAGGAACCACCGAACCAGACTGCATACCGCTGCATTGGGTGGGTTACAATCTTCACATCGATTGGGGTGGGCTGTACGGGGCGGGTGGCGTTTGTTGAAGTCATTGAGAGAGAGAGAGCAGAACAAACGTATGTATTAAATGCATAGTGGAAAAACAGTCAAATACTATCGCATAGGTGCCGAATGAATGTAAATGATGCATAGACAAAGTTCAGAGTAACCGAACACCATCACAAAAAACTGAAGATAGGTACTAACAACCAATTGCCCACTAAACGGGGAGACTTGATCACATTACGGAGAGGAGCCCAAGTTAGACAGTAATTTGTCACCAAATAGTCGGTTGATTGATTGTTCCCTGAGTGATCAAATATGCAATCCCAGCGAATCATACGAATTCAGTTTACTAAATCCACTCTGATGCATCCTAATTCGTATTCAACTCACAGCTATTCGTAAGTAGTGTCGTGTGGGATAAGTTATATTGATGTGGAGTGAGTGTCCTTCACAGTTCATCTTCACGCACAATGCCCAGTTCATCCGCTCGGTGCATGGGTGCCCGGATGAACCGAGGATTGTGCGTGAAGATGAAGTCTGAAGAATAGCCAGTCCATATCACTATATTAACTCATTGACAAATAAGGGAGATCCTCTATTAATCACAAGGTGACTAAAGTTCGGAAGAAAACTAGATTAACTAAAATGAATGATCGATCATAGAGAGAAAGAAAACAAATCCAGAACAGAAGAAACATTCCAAGGCGATTGAAGGAGACTTGTACAGTGATCCGAGAGTGCGACTGAAGGGCTTAAAATTCGCGCAACACTCAGGATTCCAAAACCAGGTTTGTACTTTCCAAGTCGCATTCAAATCTTTCTAAAGAGTTCGAGAGACATAAACAAGCAAATCGAAGCACATTAACTTCTTCATCAATAATACAAATGGGGAGACCAGTTATAGAATCGAATCTTTACTTATCGCCAGTAATTCATAAATATGGGTATCCTTGGATATTTAGCCGATAACTAGGAAATAAAGATTATGTTTTTTGTAGTGTTCCGGTTGGTGCGTATAAGTGATGGTGATGCACAAGAATTGGAAACTGGGTCTCCGCAGTCCGATTAGATATCAGTGATCTGTTCGAAAGTTTAGCTACTTTTAAACAGGAAATATATACAAAAGAGATTTCTAGGGTATCAGTATCCGTATCGCCTAGTATTAGAGCTGGAAGGGAATATTTGTTGACGTCAGTTCGAGGAAACCATAATATATCTATATACATACATCACAATAAGTAGTATATAAATGATCGGAAAAAAATTTCTCTGGAGGCACACGACCGTTTTCGTGGTTTTGCCCCTCGTAAGGCAGGCTTATCCGGTAATATGTTATCTTTTCATTCATGTTCTTGTGCCAAGGAAGTGTATTTTCTTCACAATCACTTTATTTGCAACGTCAGGTAAGTTTGCGTGGACAGCTCTTTCAGAACCAGTCCACTGGTTATTGTGACGAAAATATACTTTCTGCGTACAAGCATATGAATGAACTGACAAAAGATTACCGGATACGTACACTTGACGAGCGGCAAGAACTACGAAACCGACCGTGTGCTTCCGGGTAAATTTTGTCCAGTCATTTCTATACTACTTATTATGAAATATATCTGTGGAGTCATTGTCTTGCGATGAACACACGATAGGATATACAGCGCAGGTGCGGGTTTCGAAATGCATGAAACCTGAACATGATAGGCGCGATATTGAACGTTTGTCGATCAACTGAACCAAAAAAAAGAAATACTTCACGGACGGTTGAAACGCTCGGACCCAAAGAGTAGAGCTTTATTGATCAGTAGAATGTGGAGGTGTGGCAACGGACGAATGAAACGAACCTTGATTCGACCACCGGTGATCTCTTCAGCGATACGCAATCGATTATCCACAATCTGTTTCATATCCCGTTGAAGACGCCGGGACAGGTGTTTAAACATCGAACTACCCCCGGACAGGACAATGTTCTGCGTGAAGCACGGTGGGTATTGGAATGAAAGAAAATCCGAAAAAAAAATGATTAGCATATCAAACCCTCATCATTTCATGGTGCATTGGAACTGGGAAGAAAAAAACACAGAATACAAGAGAACAGCGTAAACAATAATCACAATTCGCGCGATAGTTCCTCAGCAGAAAGGAAAACAATAGAACTTTACCTGTCTTCAATCAGGGTGGAACTAGAAGAACAATCGATCAATGAATGAAGTTGTTATTTATAGGTTTAAGACGCCATCACCATCGCACTATTCTATAGAGAGAAAGCTGGTACAAAATACAGTGCAAGTAGAGATAATTTATTCAGTAAGAAAGCGGAAAAATAACAATATTGGTGTTTAACAAAAGTGTGATGACGTATTCAAATGTGACCGTGTAGGCGAATGGAGATCTAACCGAACGGTCAGTACAACGAAGCGATTGTCTGTTAGCTGATATCGCGGAGAAAATACCCCTAGCGCCTAAGAATCGGGGTTACTATTGTATGGGTTTGGTGAGCGTGTGGCACAGATTGCTTGTGCCGGTAACCAATACGTTGCGCAATCACGTTAGACTGTCAGTTAGACGTAGTCATGTGGAGAGAAAAACTGTATAACAGTTTGGACTAACTCAACATTCTGTGAGTGTTGATGAGTTGTGGTGGTGATGTTGGTGGCGGTAAATAAAATACCGCGAGATACACCAATTGCACAGTCCGGGCGTTATCCGGGGGAGTACGGCTCAGTTTTGTCATGGCTTCTTCATTGTTCTAACTCAAACGTGATCAGCTTTGAACAAGCGGTTAAATTCATATCAATACTACACAAGGCGCAGGGCTGCATTGATTAGGTAGGTGAACGGCTTTTCCACAAAATGCACATAAAATAAGTAAATAATGTCGTACCACTCTAACCACCTGCCTTATTTGAACCAATTATCTGAGAAGATATCAAATGTGCAAACATTCCGGTTAGTCTAAAGAATAAGGGGGAAGGGTGAAGGAGGAGCTTAAAAAGACGTGGGTCCGGATTTGAACTGTGGATTATGCACTACGGACGAGTCAGTACACTATATGTTCTCGGGGTATGCGAAGCGCTTGGAATCGGTACTATGTACAAGGCAAGATAACACTATACTCATTGAAGACCGTATCCTCTCAGGTCCTTCAGAAACACTCTGTACAAAGGAAACCACAGAGATACGCCAAACAGCTGAAAACGTTCTTGCGGACACACACACACAGCGGGTTTGTTTTGGTAAAGCAAAAAATAAATTGTGAATGCAGTCGTTGGGAGACGTACCCCGTACAGACCACGTCGAGCATCAATAGGAGAGCTTTGAATCACCTCCTCGATCACATCGCTCAACGAGGTGGTGAAATCCGGATTAACGAACTGAAATACGAGCGAAATGCAATGAAAACAATAATTCCATTAGCGACTCAGACTACTATGTTTACCAAATAACAAAAAGAAAAAAAGAAACAATGATTGGGCATTCAAAGGGATGAATGAAATTTTACTCACAATGGAAACCACAATTTTATCATTTAGTTTATTGGTAGAAACTGAAACCTGAAGATTTAGATGAACGAACCCCACAAAAAAATACTGGATAAAATAGGCGGTACTGGACGGAGTAGCGGTAAAGCGATAACACAAGCACGTCATATACCGGTGTTGTCATACTCCCTCGTGATCCGTACTGAACGGAAACAACAAATAGATATTTTTTCAACACTAAGTCGAGAGATGAAAGAAGAATCGAGAAGTAGTGAAATTGGTGTGCGTTAAAGCCGAATAAGAAACTCAAACTTCAGTTGCCAGTTCACTTAAGCGATTCAAGGTAATTATTACATATACACTCGAATCGACCTTTTGTGATTTATTAGTTTAAGGCATAAAATTGCCGGTCTATAGTACCTATAGTACGAGGTTCGACCTCCATCACCACCACCACTCAACTTTGGTGGTAGGCAACTGTGCTGTCGTCCGATTCAGTACCATGTCTATCCTAGCAGGGGCCCCATATGGTTCACCTGTTCCAGTCCCGGGTCGTGAATTGCCGGTTACTGCCATTACTGAACGGCAGGTCCTCGTAGCTATCGCGTTTTATCTGTGTGCTGTGTGCAATAAAAAAACAGGTTTTTATTACACTCTCTTGTGTGATGCATGGTAAAGGTAAACTCCATGGTCACGAAAACCCACGTCGCCGCCACCGTCCATTACTTGTATTCACCCCCGCCCCCAGGTGGCCTTTGTTTGACTGCAGCCCCTTCCTGAAGGTTTATTGTACATTGTTACAATCAATAAACAGAAAAGCAATTAAGAACAATTATTATTATTATTATTATCATCATTATTAGGATTAGTGTCATGTCGAGCCAGACGATACTGATAACAAAAGTTTCGCGACGGCAGGGTTGAAATATGGAATCTTGGAGCTCGAACCACGCAAGCGATAGTCAACCGAACCGTTGGGATAGTACCACCTTTTGGCAATCAGATTTCGCCTATTTCAGGGTGTGCACTAAACTTCGGACACCCTAACATAAGCAAGCATTAAACGAAAAACGCTCTGCTCATCAAGTCGGCAATCAGACAAAGGACAACACAAGAAGAAAAAATAACGAATAGACAGACACTTGGAGGTCGTCTACGGGTGGCAAATCTTACCTCGGGCTGGAAAAATATTTCCGGTCCCAAAAATCGTTCATATCCGACATCAACTGTGAATTCGGGATATTTGGCTGTTTTGGGCACAACATGTGGTCTGATCCATTTGTCTGGTTGGGAATCGTATTTGGCAAACTCCTTGGGTAGATCCGGACATACGTACGAGTAACTGACAGGTGATAAAAATGCACAGGAGTCGGCCAATGAATGTGGCTATAAATACAGGACATGTGAAACGCAAACAAAGCGGCATTGACTGAACGGTCATGAAGAGCTTCATAGGAATCAACTTAAACGGCACAATGTTCGTCAACCACACCCCAGTCCTCTCGCCGTTCATTCGGAATATTTAAATCTAACCGAACCCAGTTATACTCTAACGTAATACAGTCTCTCATGACATTTATTATGAAGGTCAGACTAGTGTGCTTTTTATCGTTCAACGCCCGAATATTCAGCTGTCCTTTTGAGGTGACGGAATGTTCACAAAAGTGCAATCGAAATGTGGGAATTTGTATTTTTTAGTTCCAAACGAATGGCGAGCAGATGGATTGACTGATGCATAAGTATAGGTGGTCACCAAGGATCCGCAGTTAGTGGGAGACCTCAAAAAGCTGGACCTTGGGCTCCCATTTCCAGTAGGTCCCCGTCATTAACCGCGATCAGTAACCCATCACCTTAGCTTACTTCCATTCATACTCAACGGGATATTATTTGGTTCAATAGTCCATGTGCAGGGGCTT